ATGAGCTTTTCACATCAGTTAATAAAAACTAAGATTGTCATGAAAAGTAAACATAACGAAATGCAAGTTGACGAAATAAAATTGTAGTATGTGTAAATGTCATAAAGAGTTGATATACTGTAAAGGAAAGTTAACACGATGCAATAGTAGTGTGGGTTAATGTCATAAAGAGTTAACATAATGTAATGGAAGGTTGACACAATGCAATAGTAGTGTGCGTTAATGTCATAAAGAGTTGACATAATGTAATGGAAGGTTGACACAATGCAATAGTAGTGTGGGTTAATGTCATAAAGAGTTGACATAATGTAATGGAAGGTTGGCACAATGCAATAGTAGGGTGGGTTAATGTCATAAAGAGTTGACATAATGTAATGGAAGGTTGACACAATGCAATAGTAGTGTTCTGCTATAAGGCAGTGACGGCGTTCCATAAGCCGAGACTCGTCTCTATTTATTATACATATATATTTGTTATTTTAAACAAAACTTAAAAAGGTGAACCGCACAGGCATAGATTCTGCGAAGCCAACATTATTAAAGGATGCATGTATCACCAATCGTCAAGCAGTGATGAGACGTGAAGGCATGATTTACTTTCAAGTTGTTAACAAGAAAAATATTATATTATTCAATGCATGGTACACGAAGTGTTAATTAAGGGACTGAAATAATTTTAGAATAGAAATACGAGGGTTGTCCCAAAAAGTCGTAGACAGAAGAAATACAGTTTAATTTTCTCTATGCGGAATTAAATTTCTTTGAATTACATGCTTTATTTATTTTTTTCATAATTTTCTTATTAAATGTGATATCATCATGAAATTTGAAATGCATGATTATAAAATGTTACTTTTTGTTATGACAAGAAAAGAAGAAGAAAGAAGAAGAGGAAAAACTCTTAATGAATCTCATGCCATTTAAAAATAACTTCCCTATTAATATCTAGTGTGTAATGTCACTTCTGTACCATTTTAATCCTGTCTCTGATGTATACAAACCTTATTCAAAACTATTTATTATATATCCGTGCGCCGGTTATGCGTTTGACGACGTCATTTTCATCAAAATCAATTCCAACAACACTTTGAAAATCATGACACCAATCGTCTGTTTTCAATGCTATTTATATTAAAATTTTGACTTATTATTTAGATTTTGATTCTGATTTCACTGATTTAAATTTGAGTTCAATGTTTTAAACAGTACTAAAGAAATAAAAGCAAATGTAATAATTATATACGTAAATTATTCCGAATTTTGTCCGTACGCAGAGAGACCTTATTGACCACTTTTTTAATCGTCCTAATAAATCTATAATTTTAAAGAACATAGATCATATTATATCTATGCAAAATTTTGTTAATATTGGTTGCATGTTTAAAAAGTTATAAACATTGTATACGACTTTTTTGGGACAACCCTCGTACATTGTATCAATAATAATTTGCGCTACATGGATTGTCATTAATTTTGGATCATCTTGAATTAGATTTCCTTGCTTTCAGATGTTTGTGTGCATGATGGAAGACAGTTTTACCTTCACAATATGGCTTTTCATTGTCAGGCATAAAAACAAAGACGTTGTTTTGTAAACATTTTCCCCACTTAGAGCCTTTTAGGTTGTACCCTTGTATACATGAAAAGGTTATGGTCACATTAAATGCATAAATTTCTTCTAGAGGATCTAGTAACAGGTTGTTGCTTGATACAGTTGAGCTGTCATTACATTGTATTTCTAAAAAAAGTTGAAAGATAAAGAGTTAGTAAACGCGATAAAATAGACAAAAGAACTTTATGTATTACACATTTTACCTATACAATTCGGAGATCCATCTGTATATCGGAGCCCGTACTTTTCGCACACAGCTGTTGTTGGTTTTTGTAGAGAGTATCCACTTGCACAAGAAAAGTTTATCCTCTCATGGTAGTTAAACTTTAGCTTTGAAGGAGTCTTTATTATATCCGATAGATTGTCAGCACTGGAACAAGTTATAGCTATAAAGATAAATTAAATATATAACTACTTATAGATAAGGGTTGGGGTTGAGGTTAGTTAGGGCCCCGCTTGGCGGGCGCCCTATAGTGATCAGTCTGTTCGTCCGTCCGGTCCGTCTGTCCGTCCGTCCGTCCGAGATCTCTTGTCCGGAGCATATCTTCTCTCTCCTTGGCCCAATCTGGCTCATACTTCACCCACAGAGTGCCTTTGGGTAACCGGTGTGCAGTGACCTTGAACCAGGTTTCTATTTCAAAGGTCAAGGTCATAGCAGAATTATATGAAAAATTCTTGTCCGGAGCATATCTTCTCTCTCCTTGGCCCAATCTGGCTCATACTTCACCCACAGAGTGCCTGTGGGTAACCGGTGTGCAGTGACCTTGAACCAGGTTTCTAGGTCAAAGGTCAAGGTCATAGCAGAATTATATGAAAAATCCTTGTCCGGAGCATATCTTCTCTCTCCTTGGCTTAATCTGGCTCATACTTCACCTACAGAGTGCCTTTGGGTAACCGGTGTGCAGTGACCTTGAACCAGGTTTCTATTTCAAAGATCAAGGTCATAGCAGAATTATATGAAAAATCCTTGTCCGGAGCATATATTCTCTCTCCTTGGCCCAATCTGGCTCATACTTCACCCACAGAGTGCCTGTGGGTAAACGGTGTGCAGTGACCTTGAACCAGATTTCTAGGCCAAAGGTCAAGGTCATAGCAGAATTATATGAAAAATCCTTGTCCGGAGCATATATTCTCTCTCCTTGCCTTAATCTGGCTCATACTTCACCCACAGAGTGCCTTTGGGTAACCGGTGTGCAGTGACTTTGAACCAGGTTTCTAGGTTAAAGGTCAAGGTCATAGCAGAATTATATGAAAAATCCTTGTCCGGAGCATATCTTCTCTCTCCATGGCCCAAACTGCCTCATACTTCACCCAGAGAGTGTCTTTTGGTAACTGGCATGCAGTGATTTTGAACCAGATTTCTAGGTCAAAGGTCAAGGTCATAGCAGAATTATATAAAAAATCCTTGTCCGGAGCATATTTCTCTCATGTTAGCCCAGTCTGGCTATTACTTCACTCAAAGAGATCCACTGGTCAATGGATATGCAGTGACCTTGGTCGAAGTTTCTAGGTCATGGTCAGAATTACCCTCTCTGTTTAAAATCTTTGGTGCATAATTCTTTCCCTTTAATTCCAGTAAATTTATATAACTGGGGATACAAGATAACTTCGATATTTAATGGTAAATTTGCAATATCCGTGAGGTTGTACTAAATGACCTTTTACTGTATTACACAAATGTTCCTCTTCAAAATGATCCCTTTTAAACTACCTTACATTTTCCTGTTCATTGTTGAAAGCGGGGCCCTTTGAGATGGCCACCATCTCAATGATGTCTAGTTTGTTTTGTTTTGAACATATTTTATTGACAACATGACAAAGGGATGAGGTAAGTTAATACACATGTACTTATCAAAAGGAACAATATCATACAAAATATATTTTTCAGACAATTAAAAACAATTTTTAAATCTTTTAGTACTAAAAGGGGAGAAAAAAGATGTGTATAATGAGATCCCTTTCTTTCTAAATTAAAACAAGAGGCCCATGGGCCACACCGCTCACCCGAGCATTGTGGCTAGGAAAAAGTAGTAATTGGTCTACTATTGAAAAATTTGAATCCAAAAGTTTGGCCCCGCCCTACGCCGGGGGTCATGATTTGAACAAATTTGAATCTACACTACCTGGGGATGCTTCCATATAAATATGAGAAATTATGACTTTGCTGTTCTTGAGAAGAAGATTTTTAAAGAATTTTCCTATATATTTCTATATAAAACTTTGGTCGGCCATTGTAGCCCCGCCCTACCCCCGGGGGTCACGATTTGAACAAACTTGAATCTAACTAATAAATATGAGCAATTCTGGCTTTGCTGTTCTTAAGAAGAAGATTTTTAAAGAATGTTCCTATATATTTCTATATAAAACTTTGGTCGGCCATTGTGGCCCCGCCCTACCTACGGGGGTCACAATTTGAACAAACTTGAATCTAACTAATAAATATGAGCAATTCTGGCTTTGCTGTTCTTATGAAGAAGATTTTTAAAGAATTTTCCTATATATTTCTATATAAAACTTTGGTCGGCCATTGTGGCCCCACCCTACCCTCGGGGGTCATGATTTGAACAAACTTGAATCTACACTACCTGGGGATGCTTCCATTTAAATATGAGCAATTATGGCTTTGCTGTTCTTGAGAAGAAGATTTTTAAAGAATTTTCCTCTATATTTCTATATAAAACTTTGGTCGGCCATTGTGGCCCCGCCCTACCCCCGGGGGTCATGATTTTAACAAATTTGAATCTACACTACCTGGGGATGCTTCCTTATCAATATGAGCAATTATGGCTCTGCTGTTCTTGAAAAGAAGATTTTTAAAGAATTTTCCTCTATATTTCTATATAAAATTTTGGTTGGCCATTGTGGCCCCGCCCTACCCCTGGGGGTCACGATTTGAACAAACTTGAATTTACACTATCTGAGGATGTTTCCCCATAAGTTTCAACTTTCGTGGAACAGTGGTTCTTGTGAGGAGGATTTGTAAAACATACCACCAAATTTTCACTAATTCTCAATTATCTCCCCTTGAATAAGGGCGTGGCCCTTCATTTGAACAAATTTGAATCCGCTTTACCCAAGGATGCTTTTTGGTAAGTTTGGTTGAAATTGGCCCAGCGGTTCTTGAGAAGAAGTCGAAAATGTGAAAAGTTTACGGACAGACAGACAGCTAGACAGACGGACGGACAGACAGACGGACAGACGGACGCCGGACAAAATGTGATCAGAAAAGCTCACTTGAGCCTTCGGCTCAGGTGAGCTAAAAATGCTGATTGTTAGTTTTCCTGCCTTATAATGTGCAACGCTTTTTTGTTACCTTCGCATGATGGATGCATGTATACAGAACGATTATTATTAATGAAGATCCCCTCTGGTCCACAAACTGCTTGTGTATATCCCCGGATTATAAATCCTTCGGGACATGTAAAATGTATTGTTGTGTTGAATTCATATGAGGAATAATCAGGAGAGATGGACAAATTTCTTTTTGCTACATCCGGTCTTTTACAAGTAACGACTGAAATAAGAAAAAAGAGAGAAATCTTTCAAACATGTTAAAAAAGAATACAATATACAAATATCAAAATGAATGTGATACTTGATGGAAAGACAAATAAGTAAATGAAAAAAATAACCTTGAGTGCAATGAGATCCTTTCCATCCAGGATTGCACTTAGGACAGGTAAAGTTTTCATTTAAACACGTTTCAGTTTGATGGCAGTTTTTGGGACAAAAACTAACACAGTCTTCTCTGTCATTTTCTGTTAATCTGCAAGCTGAAAGTTCAGTAGCAAGTGACAGCAGAAAATATTAGCAATTTGTTTGATATAATTGTTTTTACGCAGAAGGTATATAATTATATAATTACATGTATTTACATTCACAAGTGCCGATATCCACTGAAAATTTCACCCCCTTCCCAAAACATCTCACATATTTTTTTTTTATTTTTTGAAAAATGATACTTGTCTTCCAAATATTTACAAGTAATGCTGATTTTCCTAAAATGGTGTCGCGCCATCGTGAGTTGTTATGGATATACAGGAAAAATGTACAAATGTGTTAAACATATGTTAAATATGTGTTTAACATATATTTTTTACACATGTAAAATACATAAAAAGAGCACACATGTGTAGGGTGTTTATTTCTACACATGTTAAACATATGTTTCACATGTGTTAAACATGTGTAAAAATAAACACATTGTATATTTATACACGTGAAACATGTGTTAAACATGTGTTTTATATATGTTATACTTTATATGTGAATTATACGTGTATAATATTACTGTTGTACTTATTATCATTTTCATACTTTTTTCATGTCTGTCCACATATGTGAATAATATGAAAAGGGCAGCATATGTAAATCATATGAAATAGTTACATGTGTTCTCTTTCGATATTTATCACAAGGAAAAACACATTCTTGTACACATTTAAAAATCAGATATTTCTGCTTTAGATGAAAATCCGTTACATTCCAATGATCTATCTTCATGGGTTAAATATTTGAAAATTAATATCTTAAAATGCTTACACAACTTTTTTGATAAATTATTTTCATCAAGAGAAATAACTTATTTTTCAGTGTACTTTCTAAACAGGAAAGTATACAAACAAGTCAGTAGCATTTGTCGATGCATGTATTTTACATATTCTAAGTTGGGTACATATAAGATTTCCACAGAATGATTAAAGAGTTAAACATGCATACATGTACAAATGAATAACATAATTAGTCCATGTACTTGTTTATAAATATGATTTGACATGAAAGTGTCCAAAGCAAAATTTAAATATCACATATAAAATTTGTCATGTATTCTCTATTGTAAATTTTATTAAAAATCAAGTTATTCGATATTACAGCATACAAATAAGAATGGGAATTAAATCTCTACAGGTCAAATGCAGACAAAATTGTGTACATCCTCCCAATTTCATAATTATTTCATATATTTTCTTGTTCTTTTTCCTTCTGTATCTTTCAGTTTTCTTCAGTTGTCTTCCCTCTGATCTTTCATGAGTTTGACCATTCTGAACTCTCTTTGAACTGTACCCAAAATGCAAATCCACCATTTCTCCCTTTCCTGAACAATTTCTTTGTGGCAAAAAATGGTCTCTACAAAAATTTCAAAAGTAAAAATAAAACAATTCTTAAATTTCAAAATCAATTCTACAAGTAATATTAAAGTTCAGCAAACAAATGTATGCCCAATTCACCAACACAGATATGATACGAGATAAAACTAATGTTATATATGTTATACTAGATGTTTTGTGGAATACTATGATGTAATTTGCAAGACAATTACACTGTTGGAAGATATGCTTCATAATAGAGTCATAAAAAGCATTTTTTTTTTGATTTTGACAATTAAATTTGGAATGTTCAAACAGTATTACGAATTCGTATTGCCAAAAATAAAGAAGATTCTGACACAAATATTTTATTTTTGGACAAAAAATACTACAGAGAAGTAGACAGGCAGAAAAACAGACAGTGTGATTTCAGGATATCCCAAACGTTGTTGGGAAGAATATAACAAAGTTTATTTAACAGTGTGTAGTTACCTTAATTAAGCTTTTAAGCAAGTCTTGGATCTTGGGATTTATTCTTATGAGACGCTGACTGTATATCGAACCTGTAAAACAAATATTCACCCAGTAGATATCTTCTAAGCATAACTAAAACTTAATTAAACTACAAAACTACAACTACAAAAAAGAGAGAGTACATGTTTGTAGGTTCTTAATAGTCTTAATTAATATCTTACATTTTACCAGAAACTATGTTCTCTAGTGTTGGAAAAAAATTATAAATGTCAGGTAATGAATACCGGTACATAATAGTCTTGTAAATACAAAACGGATTAGCTAGCTGATGTACTTTCAACAATCAACACATTTGCACATGTACTTGTGCCTTGAAAGTTGGATGTCACTGTTATTAGTTATTATTAATTTTTAACTGAAATTCAAAAATTCAATTCCCCCCCCCCCGAAGTCATTTACAGTATTTGTACCAGTTTCATAGCTTTTAAAGCCAGCAAATTCTATTCATACTTTCCATATTTTTAAAAGTGCACTGGATTAAAACTGTTTTATAATATAGAATAAAATTATTGTAGTATTGAGTTGGACTTATTTTTTATGAAGTCGTGCAAACAATATAATGTAGAATTATAAAGGAACAAAAAGAAATTATCAAGAAATATTTTGTCATGAAGGAGTCATTACAGATGTTTACTTTGATTTTTTAATGCAAGTATTCATTTTTACCTTTAATATTGTGATGATGCAATCATCTGTCAAATCAGCTTTAGGATCAATCGCCAGTTTTATCAGCTTTGGGCTTTTTAGATGCAGCATTGTGACACTGAACTCAAGTTACTGCATGCATCTATAGGCCACAGGGGCTTGTGTAGAGAAAATAAAACAGTTTAAAAAATTAGTACCTCGGAGAAAAAATACACAAGGGAGGACGCCATTTTGGATACCACCTCTCTTCATCAGCTATTTTTTCGCTTAAATTGTTAAACTAGACATACGAGCCAGTTCATATCCCTTAATTAATGTTTTTTCTTGATGGCCTTACTTGCAGATTTTTCTTTAATTTTTCTTTGTTTACATTTACAGTCTTGGTCAATCTATCGCGTAAACATCCAAAATCGACAACTCATTGGCTTCTGCAGAAAACGAAAGTATTGTAGTAAAATATAGACATTTTACTATGAAATAATGTCGCCTACCTTAAAGTATAGTATAAGGTGACGACCAATGAACAAACTCTACATAATGGTAAACGGTACAGGTAACAAACAACTCAATGTAAAGGAACAGGTGAACACACGTGGTGACTACAGGTAGGACTGGACTGGACTGACGATAGGGAAAGCGTGCTGGCTAGCACGGGTGGATGGCTATGAGGTCAGGGTAAAAGGTCATAGGGAATACATTTACATACACAATTTCACTACATTCCTCCCCGTTTTATTTAATAAAGCTAGGGACAATTACTGTAATTAAATCAGAGGAACGTAAACCAGAAATATATAAGTATTTTCTTATATGGCATGGAAAACGTATTAACTAATTCATGTATCCACATGAACTTGGACGGAATTACATCCAGCACCTTAGTTCTGCAGGATAAACATGTTTGTATGTGGCAAGATTAATTAAAGTAAGTTAATATACGAATTATGATAATCCGCATGTAACTTCCACATTGGATCAAATGACCATGTTTAGCCATACGCATTCCATGTTGTATGTTATACATTTCCTATGTTTTAACATTTAATATAGCCAAAAGGAATATAACTTACCTATGACCTAACACTGACCTACTTCCATGAGAGTCCTGAAACTGAATGGAGTCATGGCATATGCATGGTTTAGTCAAGTGAGAATCAGTTGTATCAGTATATAACTTTTATCGTGTATACAACTGATTTACCTATATATTGTGCAAGAGTGCAGTAATATATGTTAGAACTTAACAACAATCAGATAAACTAACTGCTGTGATGTATATTACTGCTAACTAACTTAATATGAATATATTTTAATGTATGTCCGTCACCTGAAATATGTCAATGCCTAAATACTGTACTTTAAAACTTATACTAAGTAACTAACTTAAGCCTAACCTAAACTAAGTAAACTGTATATTTTCTTACTACCTATCCTGAAAACTAAACTAACTAAAGAAGGGAAGTTTCCTTAATTGTTGACTAATCATAGGAGACGCTATGAAATATAACCATTAAACATATTTACAAAACATATTCCGCATCAGTACCGTCACTTTCTGTAATTAGTTAGCCGGGTATGATACGGAAAATGTATGACATATAACTATATACAAGTTAAGTAAAGCAATCCGCCCCAATACCGTCATTGAGAAAGGTCAGCCAAGTATCTGTTCGGAAAGCATAAGGTTATTTACATGGAGCAATCCAGCCCAATACCGTCACTGAGAATGGTCAGCCGGGTATCTGACGGAAAGCATTTATGTTGCATGATTACACCAGTCCTTGTTTAGTTATTCTTGGACATTCTTAGGAACTGGATGAAGGACATGCAACAGAATAGATCATTGCATAATTACGACTTATATATTTCCTAAATATGCTTTACCCAGATCAGATCTCCGTGGAACAGTGAGAGGAACTACATCATCTAGGTCACAGCGCCAGTAGTGAATTCCACCACAAGCCAGTTCTTCAATGTTGAAGTTTGACCTGTAAAAGGGACAAGCTACGTCTATCCTAGATGATGCGTCTATATTGGTATGTTCTTTGCCATCCCTGTGTACAGTCATGTTGTATTTCTGTCCAACGAGCTAGCTGGCGTACGTGTGGCAAAGCATCTTCCCAGCATCGAAAGAAGTACGAAAAGACTATACTGCCAAGAAGTTCCTTACTATAGTTGTACAGTAGCGTCGTTGTTTAGATGACAGGGTTAAACTAGCATAAGTGATGGTTCTCTCTTCACCGTCTTAGATTTAAGATTGATAGTTTAAAACTTATGGAGATCAATACACTAACATCTGCACTATTTTACATCTACAAACTACATTCGACACTATTTCCCCTCCCCTTTATTTTTAAAATAAGAGAAGTAGTAATACCTAACTGTTCTAATTATTAATGTAGGAATACTAGAACTTATCTAATGTAGATTTTGCATATATAATTAGCTATACTGGTGTATTGACTATTGTTCACATATTACTAAAGTACTATAATTGTGGAGGCAAGTCTATTAGTAATTCCACTAAACAATAATGACTAAACACTAGTTAGTGCTTCAAATTATTGTAATAAGAAGCACACTAATATTGTTAATATTAGTAAGCTTAGTATAATAATCCACTTACTAGATCATATCTAAACTGATATTAAATATAACGTAGGAACCAAATAAGGTTATATCACAACAAAAACTAATATCATTAGCACTACATTCTACTACGAAATAAGTACTAGAATGCTAAAATTGACTAGATTACTATACTAATTTGATATAAAACTAACACTAATTTTTTCTTATTTATTACTTATATTAAAACCAGCACACTATGTTAATAGTAGAACTATAGTTTATAATTCGATAAACACTGGGTATAAGCATTTCAGGGATTTTATTGCAAATGATCTATGTCAATGTGATGGGCCATGGTACAACCCAGCACTTGTTCTCAAGTGGCAGCCCATCTGTATATTGCTGGATGCCAGAGCATTTACAACAGACTTGTTGCTATGCTCAGGCAACATATCACTCCTAGGAGGCTGTGTATCCAAAGTCAAATCCGGGAATGGTTGGCAGTTGGATGTTATGTCAGAATCTGGAGTTAAATGGCAACCAGCAGTTGAATGCTCACTACTCAGTAGCCCTAACCCAGATGAACTGCCTTCAGGAACATTCTTGTCCTCTTTGTCTGAAGTTGTTTGGCAACCAGCAGTTGAATACTCACTACTCGGTAGCCATAACCCAGACTTACTGTGATCAGTTTGGTCTCTATCCTCTATGTCTTCTGTGTGTGGAATTCCAGGAACTTGGGGATCATCATGTGACACCATGGTATTCCACTGCATACTAGCAGGTGATATATCACCACTCCGTATTTGTGGAAACCCTGGTGGACACTTGCTGGGAACTGTAGACATCTGCTGCTGGTGTACTGCAGTAGGCAGGTCATATGCACAGCTGCTGTCGTCATCTCCAGGTCTCATCAGTGCTGAACCAGTTCTTTGTTCCTGGTCAAGGATGTTATTAGGAATTCCATTTGTTGACATAGTAGGACATTGTACAGCTGCCACATCCTGTGAGTGTGCCAACGGTGGTGGTGGCATTGGTGGTCCTCCATACATTCATGGCTGTGGGTATTGCTGTTGAGGTACCATGTATCCAGGCGGGAACATTCCAGGACATGGGCCATATGCATAGGGTATGCTGGGATACAGCTGTGGTGGTCCAAGGAATGGTTGTGGGAATGGTCCACCATATCCAGGAAATGGTACTGGATAGCTCCCAGGGACTGGTACACAAGGAGATGGATACCCATATGGATTTAGAGATGGCAGGTATGGTCCACCATAGAATCCAGGAGGTGCTGCATAAGGTGTCATAGCTGGATTCATCTTGTTGCTTTATTTTCAGTAGTTCAAAGTTACGGAAGTAATCACGCCGTTTGACACTACTGAAACAGTCAGTCGTAGAATGTGTGTATGTTTATTACTGTACGTTACGTTATTTCCACGTCACGGTAAACGAAACCGCCGGTGAAAATATTACACACTAATGTGACTGATACTGATAGCAACAAGTTCTATTTAATCAAAGTGATCTGAATTAAACGTTACTTATAAAGCCGGTTTAATTCATCGGTATAGTCCAGGTGTTTAGTTTGACTTTTCTTTCTATCCGCTTTTCTTTCTATCTTCTGTATCGCCGGTAGCTAGATCGGGTAGCGTTTCCTGTATCTTTGCCTTTATTTCATAATCATATTATACATCTACCACTTAATTAATTGCTTAATTTGTAAATTGACTTGCTTTATTACCGCACTGACTCTTACAACGTTAATTTAACGCCCGGTGACAGACGACGGTAGCAATAAGTAATGATGTTACTAAAATAAATACCCGATAAACTTATTAATTAAATAATATAATCAATTGATGATGTTATATGAATTGATTATATTTTGCAAAGATATTCACTGTTGTTACACAGAGCTAATATGCAAAAATGTAACTCGACAAATTCAGTTCACTGTTGTTCAAAGCGAGCACGTGCGCTTTGATCTATATATAGCTAAAATAGGTAAACCGGTTTGAGTGAACTAGCTCTGTGAAACTACATGTATATAAAACTAACAAAAACACTATATCTCTACTTTCCCCAAAATATTTTTTAGGGAACTTAGAGAAGGAAAAAACAATATATGAATATACTAATTAAATTACGAGTCGAGAAGAAAACGGCGCTCCTCGAAAATTGTCAACACGAGTGACAATAACTTTTCAATATAGAAAAAAAATGGAAATATTTGTCTCGTGCAAAAGAATAAAATATACGAACAATTTAGAATAAAGTTCAGTCGATGTGGCACGTGACCGAAATTGAATGTATCGAGAAGAAAAAATATAATTTGCACAAGACAATGAAAATTCAAAATTTTCGTACTGACATTTACAAAAAAAACACGCCCTTACGATATTGTTCACTAAATAGTCATGAAAATATTCAAAATTTTCGCACTAGACGTTTACAGGAACGCCTGTCCCATAAGTATAATGCTAAATACTAATGAAAAACGAAAATGCAAAAATAATTGGACCGTGATATCACCACGTGTTCAAATGCGACTCACGCGTGAAAAAATAACATGGCAAATTAGTCAAATTGTTGGAACTTTGCAAATAACGTTACTTTAAACGCCTGTAAGCAACAGTTTTCTAAAATAACTAAATGCAAAACATTCCACGTGAGTGTTTTTACTCACGAGTGAAAGACAATTCACACGTGAATTTTGTAAATAAAAACATGTAATTCAATGCACCCCGCACCGAATTACCGGCGACGCCAATGTAGTAAAATATAGACATTTTACTATGGAAAAATTCTTCCGGCGACGCCAATGTAGTAAAATATAGACATTTTACTATGAAATAATGTCGCCTACCTTAAAGTATAGTATAAGGTGACGACCAATGAACAAACTCTACATAATGGTAAACGGTACAGGTAGCAAACAACTCGCGTCGCCGGTAATTCGGTGCGGGGTGTATTGAATTACATGTTTTTATTTACAAAATTCACGTGTGAATTGTCTTTCACTCGTGAGTAAAAACACTCACGTGGAATGTTTTGCATTAAGTCAATGACATTTTAGGAAACTGTTGCTTACATTAGTTATAATTAACGTTATTTGCAAATTTCCAACAATTTGACTAATTTGGCATGTTATTTTTTCACCCGTGAGTAGCATTTGAACACGTGGTGGTATCACGGTCCAATTATTTTGATAGTTTCGTTTTCATTAGTATTTAGTATTATATTTATCGTACAGCGTTTTTTGTAAACGTTAGTGCGAAAATTTTGAATATTTTCATTACTATTTAGCTTACAATATCGTTAAGGCGTTTTTTGCAAACGTCAGTACGAAAATTTTTGATATTTTCATTGTCTTGTGCAAATAACTTTTTTTTTTCTTCTCGGTTCATTCAATTTCGGTCACTTGTGCCACAAGGACTGAACTTTATTTAAAATTGTTCGTATATTTCATCCTTTTGCACGAGGCAATTATTTTGTTTTTTTTTCTATTGAAAAATTTTGTCACTCGTGTTGACAATTTTCGAGGAGCGCCGTTTTCTTCTCGACTTGTAATTTAATTTGGATACAGAATATTTATATATATTGTTGCTTTTTCTCTCTAAGTTCCTTAAAAAAAATATTTTGGGGGGAAGTAGAGAGATAAGTGTTTTTGTTAGTTTTATGTAATGTATTTCACAGAGCTGTTCACTCAAACCTTTTGTTTTACTATTTGAAAGGCACGGGTTGCTTTGAACAATGTTTCAGT